TATATAAACGTTACAATACGTACTATTTTTTCATCGAAATTTTCAAATTTTTAAACTTTTTAGAAAGATTTTAATTAATCATTTAAAAATGACTATTAGTCAATGCCAATCAATGGCATTTGAAAAAAAAATAAAAATGCGTTTAATAATTAACATATTGAGTTAATCATTCTCTTCATTACTAGAGAAAAAGAAAGAGAGAGAGAGAGAGAGAGAGAGAGAGAGAGAGAGAGAGAGTGTGTGTGTGTGTGTGTGTGTGTGTGTGTGTGTGGTGTGTATGTGTGAGAAAGTATTCACGATAGTATTTCGGCTAAGCGGCAAGCCAGAGTCATGGCGGAATGTTTACGTGGACATGGAATGGTGTGTGATCAATATTGACAAATTCCTTCCTAATATATGTTTCAATTAATTCTTAGAATTATTGAAAATAGCAGCCCACAACTTTATAATCATAACTTTTTTTTATAGTTTTATTTGCGATCATTATTGATAGTGCACTAACATCATCTTATCAAGACATGTCAGGACAACAAAATGATATTAAAACCTTATCTACAGCATGTAACAATTTTATAATCCCGTTATACAAGGTATATAATCTACCACTATATTTTTATATTTTATATAAACTACATATACGAGAGTTTTCTAGTTTATAATTTGTCATTTCAGAGTTTAACAACCAACACTGACAGCAACGTTATAATTTCTCCTTTAAGCTTGCATATGATATTATCTTTACTTTCTAATGGTGCTGGAGGATCTACATTGAACGAACTAAAATCTGTTCTTCATTATGACAATATAGTTTCTGCAAATGATAAATTTAAAACTCTGATTTTCTTGTTGAAAGTAAGGTTAAGAAAATATAATATCTATAATTAATTTTCAGAGAATTTTCATGTATACATTTAAATATATTTTAGGGCATTGAAAACATTGAATTGCATATAGCAAATAAAATATATGTTCAAGATGGATTTGATTTAATGGCTGAATTTTTAGCAATATGCACAAATACATTCCAGTCTTCAATTTCAAGATTGAACTTCAAAAATAACGAGCTTGCTGTAAAAACTATTAATTCATGGGTTCAAGAAGCAACAAATAATAAGATATTTGATATAATTTCTTCTGGTATGTTACATGATAATTATAATAATTCAGTATAGATTAACACACTGTACAAAACATTTTTATTAATTAAATTATTTTGAACAGATGATATTGATGAAGATACAAGACTTATGTTAATAAATTCTATTTACTTTAAGAGTAAATGGTTACATAAGTTTGATGAAATGAATACAGTAAAGCGCAAATTTTATATTTCCAAAACAGAAACAAGTCTTGTTCCGATAATGTTTAAAACATCAAAGTATGCTTATGGCAAAATATCTATTTGGGATACGACATTTATTGAAATTCCATATTTAGTACGTAATTATCTGTAAAAAAGACTTATAAAAATGAAATTAATTTAAAGTACAAGTAAATTTTGCAGAATCAAGACATTGTAATGATAATATTATTGCCAGATAGAGAAATCGAATTGCAAGTTTTAGAAAATAATTTTAACTGGAAAACGTTGGCAGATGAATCTAGGTCTATTGGTGAGGTTGCACTATATCTACCTAAATTTAACTTTGAAATTACCATAGATTTGAAAGACACTTTACGTAAGGTAAGCAATATAAAATTAGTGAAATACATTTTAAACAGCTAGTATATGGAAATACATGCTCGTAGATTGGTTTAAATACAATCTTTGAGAATGATGCGGATTTTACACAGCTCTCAAACATTCCTCTGAAAGTAAGTCATGCATTACAAAAAATTTTCATCGAAATTAATGAAGAAGGTTCGGAAGCTGCTGCTGCGACAGGTAGTTTGTCTTTATGAATGATAAAAAATTAGATGAATTTTATAAGTATTAGAATAAGGAACTATTGTTACAGTTGTGGGAATGAGATTGAAAAGGATGGCAACTTTACCAATGGAGTTCATGGTGGATCGTCCGTTCATGTTTGCAATTGAACATAAACCAAGCGGAGTACCACTATTTCTTGGAAGTGTGAGGAAAATAGAGTTTTTCCAAGAAAAAGATGAATTATAAATTCTGTTATATTTTTATACGAATTTATCACATTATATATATATATATATATATATATACACATATATATG